TGGGGCCTGAAACGGGGAGTGGTGCTCAGGTATCTTTCTGGGTTTCCAAGGCCACATGGACACGGGGTTTGGGCGTCTATATGTAGTATTTTCTAAGTCTACTTCCTCTACACCATGAGGATGGTGCTTCTCTGGCAGGTAACTGTGGTTTGAGGGTTACATGACGTCATGGAAATGCAAGTGCCTGAAGAGTCCTGACGCTCAGTTGTGGTTTAGTTTCCATTTCAGACCCTGGGAGTGTTCTGAGGGGCTCGGGCCACCGGGAGGGAGGGGTGAGCTCTAGTTAACTCCAGGGTGAGCAACTCTGCTAGTCTTTGTTCTCAGTGTTGTGTATCTATAGTTTTATTTGTAGGAAGAGTTTTGCTTCAGTAAAGGACTTTAAAATGAGATTCCAAAGGTATATATAGAGCTGGAGCATAGGGGAGGGGTTCCCCATGCCTGGGGCAGCCCCAGGAGCTCAGTCTGGCAGCAGCTCTACCCTCTGCTCCCTTCACAGATCTGATGACTTCCTCTAGACCTGCTCTGTCCCAGTGGGTAGCCCATAAGTCACCTGTGGTTGTATAGCTCTTGAAATGGGGCTGGTTTGACCTGTGACGTGCTGCAGATGTAACCCAAGCCTGACTTCGAAGACTTAGTACTAAAAAAAAATGTAAAATAGCTCAACCTTTTAATATGTTTAAAGATTTTGAGCATTATTGGGTTAAATAAAAGATACATATTTTAAAATATATTTTTATTGATTTCAGGGAGAGAGGAAGGGAGAGGGAGACATAGAGACATCAATGATGAGTCATTGATTGGCTGCCTCCTGCACGTCCCCTGCTGGGGACCGAGCCCACCACCGGGGCGTGTGCCCTGACTGGGAATCAAACCACTATCTCCTGGATCATGGGTCGATGCTCAACTGCTGAGCATCGTGGGCTGGGCTAAAAAATACTAAAATTCACCTGTTTCTTTTTACTTTTTAAAAATATGGCTGCTAGAAAAAAATTACCTATGTGACTTGGCATTTGTGGCCCATGTTATATTTTTTGTGGACAGTGCTGCTCTGGGTCCTCCAGGACTGCTTCCCCTCCAGGCCTCAAACAGGCAGGGTCTCGGCACAGCTGAGAGGGTGGCCTGGGCCTGGCTCACTCACCCAGGGACCCTTTCTGGCACCAGCAGGGCTTTCCTGTGTGCTCGTGAGATTTTTGTTGGTGTTGGGAGCTAAGGCTGAGGCCTTGTCTTGTCTATTGAGAATATTCATCAGCTTTATGCTGATGGACCAAAATGAGATTTATTCTCTTAATTTGTCTGTCCTTGGGTGTGGTTAGCAAATGGTACTAATTGGATTTCAGTTAAGTCTTCCTGAGTAGTGTGATTTAAGCTGTTTGCCTTCTGGCTGGGGAGGAGAAATGCAAACCATTTACTCCCAGGTGCCCTTGGTTTAGGGAAGACAGGATTTACTGGGTGGCTGTCTTAGTTTCCCCGTGTCACCCGCCCTGGAATTTTCCTAGCTTCCCAGCACGCTGGAGCAGTTACGTAACCTGTGCTGCCGGGGAGGGCCACTAGGGGCCGCTCTGTGATCCCTGGAAGAACAAAGGGCGACTTCCTCAGGAGCCAGGGTTCACCGGGCTTTATTTGGAGGCCTTCTGGAAGCTGGCTGGCTAGGTCCTTGGCTTCCCTCAGGGTGGTATGGGAAGGGGGCATATAGAGGGCAGGGAGTCTCCTGTGATACACGGGCAGCCCAGCTCAGCAGTGCAGACGACAAGCAGGCTGGCCCTGTCGCAGCTGCAGATAGGCTACAGGATAAATGGGCTGATGGATGGGGGTGGGATTTGGAGGTCTTCCCTGCAGTTCTTTGGGAGGAAACAGCTCCGCATCATTCAGCTGGGTCTGCCTTCTGGGTCCCGGATTCTGCCATTTCTGGCAGATTATTGCCCTTTCTTCCTTACCTCGCAGTTGGAGCAGTGATGGTAGCTTGGCGACAGTGGCGGAGGGCTGAGTGAGCAGAGGAGCTGTGGTGCCTTGAGACAGGCAGAGCAGGCACAGCTTCGGTGGACAGGGGCCCGGGACAGCTTGTTCCCTCAGTCACAACAGCAGGTGGGCTGGTGGTGCCATCCCACTCATGCTCTGCCTGCTGCACATATGACTGCCTTTGACAAGTGTGAGGAGGTTGGGGTAATACTGCCAAGAGCTCTTTTCGAAGGTGCTGGGGAAAGGCTGGCTGGACAAAGGCAGGAGGGGACACCGGAGTGCGAACAGGCTGGAAAAGGTCCAGGCAAATGCATGCTTCCTTGGTTTGGAAAGGGGGTGGGAGGAAGGGGAGCTTGGTAGGGCCCACCGTGCATTGGGACAGGTAGCAGTGAATTTGCAGGTACAGGTAACGGTGAGTCCTGATGGTTCTAAGGAGCGTCTTACAGCCTTAGAAATCTAAGCACATTTTGGGAAATGAGAACCACTTAACCTTTGCTTGACACCAGAATCTGAAGGGGACCCTGAGATACAGAAAAGGCAACGTGGACCTGGGCCAACTCGGGAGCTGGGCCTCTTCACGAGGGGCTGGAGATAAAAGGCTGGGTTCAGCCTTGTCTGAGTCATTGAGCCAGAGGACCGAGAGCTTCTCACTATAGAAAAGAAGGGTTGAAGAGACCATTTGAAGAGCAGGTGGGGGTTGAACACTGAGGGACATTTAGAGGGAGGGGCCCATTGAGCTAAGGGCCCGTCTTCACCTTCTAAGTTAAGGTGACAGCTTCTGTGGCTGTTTCTGAAGGGCTGTGGGAGAAGTAGCCCTCTGGGTACAGAGCAATGCATTTTCTACTATATAGTCACCAAGGGCCGTAAAGCTTTCAATTGCCACTATTGATGGAGAGGTCTCTGGGTAGCACATGCACCAATTCTAGTACTTTCTGACGCGGCATTGTTCTACCAGATTTCTGTTCGGCTTGGGGCGGGCGGTAAAGCTGCACAGGTGTGCTGGAGTGGCCTGGAGTCGGGGGACTGGAGAGCCGCCTCCTGGATCACCGCGGCCTCCTCACTGTGCCCAGGGGTGATCATTTAAATTAAGATCCGTGTCCCAGGTTTGTGGTCAAATCTGAATCAATTTCCAGAACCAAACCTAAAGAGTAACAAATGATCTGGATTCTTGTCTGTGAGAAGAGCAGTTCTTATTAGAATCAGAATTCACTCAGAATTTAAAAATTTTACCTGCACCAAGTCTTCAAATTATAAATGTTTAGCATGAAAAACCTTGAAATCAGTGGGTCAGAGGCTGGTTGGAGAAGCAGTTGCTTCAGTTTTGCTATAAGAGAGAAGAGGGCAGGTGGAAATTTCGAGGTCACGCATACGTGATGGGCTTCGTACGGGCCCGTCCGCGGGCAGGGGCCGCGCCAGGGGCCCGGGGACCTGTTTCGGGTGTGGCGGGGGATAGTCAGTCGCTGTTTGTGGACCGGCCCAAAGCTGCCTACGCCTCTGCAGCCCGGATTTCTAAGACCCAGCCGGGCCGTGAGCATTTCCCTGGGATGGGGGAACGGCGGTCCCCAGGGGGGAGGAACGAAAACCAATGACACAGTCCACTTGGGACGCGCGTGGCACTCAGGCGGCCTTCGCAAAGGCTGCGCCTCCCCGCGCCTTCCTCTCCGAGCTCCCCACGGCTTTTCCGCGGAAAGAGGGTGTTCGATGGAAGGAGGGAGCTCCCGGCCCCGGCCTCCGCGAATGGCTCCTCCTGGGGCCGGGGTGGCAGCCTCCGCCCCGGCTGGCCCCGCGTCGCCAGGGCGGGGAT